AAAGTTCTATTTCTCTGGGTGGTGATTACATGTATGTGCTCACTTTGTGATAATTCATTGAATGTACACTAATGATTTGTGTCTTGTTGTAGCATATATGTTGTACCTTACAAACTTATAGCCATTAATATGCATAACTAATAGAACTTTATTTTTTTTTATTATTTATTTTTATTTTATTTTTTTTTTTGAGACAGAGTCTCGCTTGTTGCCCAGGCTATAGTGAGTGCCGTGGCGTCAGCCTATGCTCACAGCAACCTCAAACTCCTGGGCTCAAGTAATCCCTTCTGGCTCAGCCTCCCGAGTAGCTGGGACTACAGGCATTGGCCACCTGCCCGGGTAATTCTTGTATAGTAGTATATATTAGTTGGCCAATTAATTTCTTTCTATTTATAGTAGAGACGGAGTTTTGCTCTTGCTCAGGCTGGTTTCGAACTCCTGATCTCGAGCAATCGGCCCGCCTCGGCCTCCCAGAGTGCTAGGATTACAGGCGTGAGCCACCGTGCCCGGCCTAAATAGAACTTTAAAAGTATGGCTTTGGGCTGGGCGCTGTGGCTAGCCTCCCAGCACTTTGGGAGGCCAAGGCAGGAGGATTGCTTGAGGCCAGGAATTCAATATCAGCCTGGACAACATAGCAAGACCCCCATCTCTACAAAAAACAAAAAACTTAGCTGGGTATGGTGACACACACCTATAGTCCCAGCTACTCAGAAGGCTGAAGTGGGAGGATCCCTTAAGCCCAAGACTTTGAGGTTACAGTGAGCTATGATTGTGCCACAGCACTCCAGTATGGGAGACAGAGCGAGACCTCATCTTTTAAAAAAAAAAGTATGCCCTTGATATGTATCAATAATTACTGTTTGTTAATTGATGAACAGGAGTGTAATTATATCCAAATAGACCCACAACAATATAACATGATATTTCAGTAATTTAGCATTGTTGAAATATTATATATATGAGATATTATGCAGCAGGAGCTATGGATATAATCTTGTTGGAAGTACATTTTAGGAATAAAAATATCGCACATGGTCCTAGGGTGCAGGCAGGGTTTAGTTCCACTGCTGAGAGGATTGTCTCCTAGTTGGTACTTCTGAAGTGCCACTTCACACTCACAGATCACAAACACGTGGACATTATTGGTAGTGCTAGTAGCTTAGATGCTCTCTTCTCTGCCTGTTAGGTGTCTGTGATAAGGTATGTCAGAAAGGACCCATGCGTCGTTTTCTCTGGCCTTGCTCAGAACTGCTATTGATTCAAAGAGAAGAAAGGTAGCCTACTAATATTAAAGGATCAAGATGATAGCTCTCAGGTAACTATTTTCTTCATGTAATTTCAGTCTTTCTCTTACTACAAACAAAGGGGTAATATCCTTTAAAAATAAAATAATAGAAACTATACATAATTAACTACTTTAATGCTTCTTTTTCAACCATTTGGTCCCATGATTGCCTGGTTTCAAACTCACTAAAGCATCTTATAGGGTAAGTTCCAAGGTAGCTAGCATGGAGGCAGCATGATAGCACAGTGCAGTGGAAAAAAGCAATGCATCAAGAGTTACATAATGTTGCCCATCCTTAGGCTTCCACTACCTGTGTGACCTTAGGCAAAGCTGGGGCTCTAGACCAGAGGACCTGTAAGCTCCTCTTCCGATATGAAAACAGCATATTCTACGTGCAATTTTATACTGTGAACTTGTATACAAATAATTCTGCCCTAACTGTAAGATTTCACTCAAAGTTGTAGGTGAATGGTACAGAAAATTATTACGGAACTATTTTTCTTTTCCCTTCTGACAAAAATTATGCAATTTCTTCCTCCTATCTACATTTTCACCTCTGACTTCCTCATCACTTTCAAACCTCTTGCTCCTTTAAACTATAACAATAATCATGTCAGCAAACATCTTTCGAATATCTAGGAGCCAAACACTGTTCTAAGTTTTACACACGTAAAATTTAATTCTAGCAACAAATCTGCTATAATTTCTCCCATATTGGAAATGAAGAAATTGAAGAGAAAAAAAAGTTACATGATTTGCTCAAAGTCACAGCCTAGTAAACAAAAGAGCCAGCATTTGTTCCCAGGCAATCTGACTCAGGAGCCCGCAGGGTAAGAAAATAATAACTATTAATAATTGCTTCCACTTAAGTTTTTACTACTTGCCAAGGACTATTTCAAATCTCACATTAAGTACAATATGTGTAATTTCATATAAATTTTGAAAGATATATACAGTTACCCCTATAGTTAAGATACAAAAGCTGAAGCATGTGAAGTATATGTAACCTTCCCAAGGATGAATAAGTATTAAATAGCAGAGCCAAGATTTCAACAGTGGTCTGCTTCTTTCTTTATTCTATCTTCTTTTGTTCCTCCCTTATCCCACTTTTTTCTCTTTTCTCTTTGCTATTCCTCTCTCACTCACCTATTTTTTCTACCCCTCTTTGCCTTAACGTATCATGCACTTAATTCATCTCTAACATAACAAACAATTAAAAGCATAAATGTAAATTCAGATTAAAGATTAGAATATATGTTATACAATTCCAAGACCTAAAACCTCAAAAGTGTATCATTATGTAAAGAAAAATAAATTATTTTGTTTTAGTAAAATAACTTAGTATTTTCATGTGTTAAACCATTGTATGTCAAATATATTTAGTAAATACATAAATATATATATACATACAAACATACAGTGACCTTGGATAGTGCCGATTTTGAAGCACACTCTCAAATAATGTTGTCATATGAATTCATTTTTTTCTTCTATGAAAATCTTATATTACTTTTTTCTGTATAAAAAGTTTATTTTGAGAAAATCTTTAAGAAATATTTGTTTCACTTGTATCATTGTGATTATTATAATTTCAATCTAAAATTTTAATGTTTCTTTAATTTAATATGGTATTTTCAGGATTTTTAGGAATTATTTTTAAATATCTTATTACATCTTGTTAAGAAAGCTTGTTAGATTCATTGCATACATTGTTTACTTCTTACTGGTCTCTGTGGGGTTCATTTGTCACCATTAATAGTTGCATTTTCTCTGTTTTATGTTGAATACTCCAGGGTTTTCTAATAAGACCAGTGCATCCAAGCACTAACAGAACTACACCATAATCTTGTCATTGGAGTTGTCTCTAATATACATTACATAAGAAAAATTTTAATGAATATTGTTATTTTAATGAATAACTTTTAATAACTATCTGATAACTTTGACAATTCTTTTAGTAAAACTAATCTTAAAGCCATTGGTTTTTAAAATTTTTTTTAAATCTAATACTGTTTTTAAAAAGTAGTTTATTTCATTATTAAAGAATTATGCCCAAAATACTATTACTAACTATGGCTTTTGTAATATAAACTTTTTAATGACACTTTTTAAGGTACATTTTGAAACATTTAACCAGATTAAATTCAAATTTTTCTGTGGTCTAGATATATAATCTATTAGATAGTTCAGTTGTAGAGTATAATTGATATATGTACAGCACTTAACACAAAGAAGGACTGAAAAATACAAATTTACTAAAATGAACATTTTTAGGTTAATAATGACTCAAATTAAACAAAATGTTTTTGTAAGAATTGGCTAAAGCATTAAAGCACTGTTTTGAAACATTAAATCCTATTGTAAAGTTTTACTTTTTTATTATATCATTTCAAACGAATAACTATTAATCCTTAATTCTACACCAAAATAACTGTAAAACAGTGTAAATTCTGTTACAATATTTTTTGTTTTCCAGGTAATGGAGGTCACCATATATCAAGTACAACATGTTTTTTACTTTATAAACTTTATTAAAGCCTCACAACAACCTTCTGAAGTTAGCCTTTCTGTGTCTTATTTTACAGATGAGAAAACTGAGGGTTAGAAAGTGTAATTAATATGACTAAGAGGATCCAGGTAGGAAGAGGGGGAGCCAAGAGTGGAACAAATCTCTGTCTCTCTACAAAGCCCATGCTTTTGTCTAGCTCCTTCAATATCAAAGTCAATTTTGGTCAAGTGATTTTTAAAGAGAGAGAGAAGAAAATGTTTTATTTTGGGAGAAGAGCAGAAAATACTGTTTCTTCAATTAATTCCCATCCGTTCCAACCAATTAAGATCCAAACTCCTGTACAAAACAGGTGCGGTGCACACCACCTGGGGGTTGGACACGCTTGATGTTCTGGCACGGCGTTGGGGGGGTGGGAAGGAGGAATGGCAGGGACAATATATGTAACCCTAACAATATTTGTCCCCTCATAATATGATAAAATAAAAGGAAAAAAATACATTTTAACATTGCCTTTCTTGCGCTTATCTTTCATAGTTATTTCAAAGGATAAGAAATGGTGGTCAAAACTGTTGAGACAGTGATAGGATAGATTTTGACAGCTGCAGTGTAACAACCTCCACCCCTGCACCACCACCAAATCATGCTACATAGACAGTTATCTGTAGTACTCACAAGTAGGGGAGATCTTGTTTCATGGCATTTTAGCGGCTCCCTGAAACAACCTGGTGGCCTAACGTAGTCAACAAACTTTTCAAATCAAAAGTCAGGGGAAATTCAATTATATTATAGAATATTTATAGACTAAATGTATGAAATGTACAGAACTAAAATTTAGAACATATGAGGAAACCTTTTGTTATACTCTTTCTGAAGGTATTAATTTGTTTTGAGGTTAAATGAAAACTAGAGAATCATCCTACCAATATACTAGGCAGTATAATTTAAATTGCTCAAGATCAACTCTTAGAAACACTGCATCAGAGATCTCTGAAATATCTCAGCACTAGAAAGGTCTTTTGAGCCACTCGTCTCCTTCTTACTGCTGGTCTTATTACTGGACATTGCAAAGCCTGCCATTGTTTCTGACCATTAATAATTATAGAATAATGGCTATGTACTCAGTTTCACGCACATAAAACCAGCAATGGCACCTTCAAGAGAAATAATGTTAAACATATACTTGAGATTAAGCGTAAATATCATTACCACCATCTGCAAAGCCAGTTGCAGTGATAATAGGTATAGCCACCATAATTAGTCCGCTGCTGCTCCAAACATACTTCATCAAGAACTGCTCTATCATGATGTACCACAAACGTTTGGACAAAATGAGGTTCATCTGATCTGCTAAAGCTTTGTAACTTTTCTGGAGTTGCTTCATTTCTACCTATAGAAGGAAGAAGCAATAAGAATTAACCCAGCATGAGCCATAAAAATAAATACTGCATGTGCTTGAAGACTTTCTTTAAAGATATGTACACAGTATTTTGTTTTACTTGATATAGCATCATCTATGAGTCTTAACAACCAATAAACTCAGCTTAATATCAGTATTAGTCATTATTTTGTTTTGGTCATGCTTGCATTATTTAAAAAAAACTTATGCTACCCAGTGAATATAATGGCAGGTATAAAATACATGTAAGTAATTTATAATTACGATTTGAAAATTATATGTATAGTAAGATATTAGAATTAAATGATATTCAATTTGACATGAATAAACAATGTTAGAGCCTTATCCTTTTTGATCACACTAAAATATCTGAAAATAGACATATGACAAACATTTATATAATAGACCCCACTTTTGAACTGACTCAATTTACTGTATTTTATGCAAGAAGCCTAAGCACAGTATAATTAACATCATTGAGTTCAATGATTCAAGGAGAATGACAAATCAAAATGATTAATATAACATATGATACCAATTTTCAAGTGGTAGTAGAAGTCCTAAATTTGCTGTAAATTTTCTTCTTCAGGTTGGTACTGCTATAAAAAACTCTGATAATTACTGATGCTTTAAAAATTCAATAATTCTGCTTAATGATTAAAATGCCATCTTCAACATCAGAATAATTTATTATTTCATTTGCCAAGTCATTTTTATTAAGATTCCAGATACATCATTTTCAAAATTTCTGCTGTGTTTCATATTCTGAAGTTACTTCCATGCACTGTGAGTATACACAATTGGGGTAATTGTTTTAGGGACCTGATTAACATTGAAAATCTTGAATATTTAAAAATAATATTCTTGAATTCCTTTGTCCTCCTCATTTCCCCTCTAACCTCAGCTTTTCCTTCAAAGTTAGACAAAATTTAACTTCACTGCCTCTTTTTATTTGTGCCAAAATATGGTGCTGACCATGAGCTAAGAGTAGTGGAAGTATCATTTCCTGAGACACTCTGGTGCTTCTTAGAGCTGAAGACACTCCTGTGGATCAGACATGCAAAAAAAAATGGTCAAAGTTGTCTTCCATATGAAAGCGTGGGTTTTGTTTTTCTCTTGAACAACAAGGGAATAACAACAACAAAGAATACTGTCCCAAATTTTCCATCTCAATAGAAATGTGTTTACTCTTAGTTTCTAAATATATATTATCTTCACTGCTCTAAGACCACCTGCCAAGTTAGGATTTACGTTTTAAGAAAATGCTTGAGTGATAATGAGCACATTTGAGAAACTGAGTCTCAGTAGACTCTCTTTTAGAGTGCTGATTTTATTCTCATGAAACTTTAGAAAAGTTTGCACTCTACAATTCTTTAACAGCTTGTGATTACAAAGCGTAATGAAGCATATATTTTAATACAGGTTTAGATGTCAGAGGAACCTAAGATGCTAAAGAAGTGGGTCCATGAACAGTACAACAGATGGTATCTAGCACTGCAGTGACAGCTTGAACAGTCTCACATTTCACTCATCACCTTAATTTCTGTCTTACCTTATGTCCTCTGTAAAAGGCAATTTCTTCCACATTGGCTATAATTCTGGAGTGCACATACCGCAAATAGCCTTTTCTATGAGCTTCTTCAGCAACCAATTTGCCAAATCTGGGAGAGCAGGCTTTCAACACCTTAGCAGTGGCATACACCACTAGTCCTGCTAGCAGGGTGGGTCCAATTGGGCTTGCTCCTCTGGATGTAGCAGTTTGGATGAGTGTGTAGGAAGTCAGGATTACATCTAAAATAGGTTTGGTAAGATTAGAATACAAGTGAGCCACAGATTGGGAGAACATCATAATATCCTCAGTAAGAGACTGGTCAGGGTTTGCCAGCCTCCCATCCATATTGATCACTTTATAATAAGTCTGATTTGTAAAATAGGTTTCATAGGCATGGTCTACTAGGCGAGTTCTGAAGGCCAAAGCCAATTTGCACTCCAGGTACCTTATCGCACTGTTGACGAAGGTAGCGGGGATAGCTATCATAAGCCACTTGATTAATTTGATGATGAAAGTCCGAGGCTTCTTTTCCACAATGCTTTTCACAATTTTTCCATCCAGACCAGCTACATAAATAGACAGAAAGGTTCTTGAGATTAGAGCCACCGAGTGCAGGCAGAGCCACCCTGTTTCAGTGGTCACAAGTTTTGGAAAGAGAATTTTCCGAAGTTCTAGTAGCTGTTTGAAAAAATCTGCATTCACTCCAGGCGATGGTTTTTTACAAATGGTCTCGGTGCAATGCAGTATTTCTCTGTTCTCTGCAGCAGGACAAGCAAGCGCTTCTCTTTTCTTCCCGTCCCCAGATTGCTTTAAACGCTTGCCAATGACGGGATAGAGGGTTTTCAGAGCATATGCCGCAGCCACCAGGCAGGCAGCCCTCTTAGCAGCACTCGATCGGGTCCATTTCACTCGATCAGCTGCTGCATTTAGCATATGTGTCATTTTCCCAGTCACACAAATAGGCTCCAAAAAGAATTCGCTTTAAAAGAGCATGCTCCACAGAAATCCCCAGCAAATGTTTCAGAAAGTCCTACAGCGTTCCATCGTCTGCAGCGTTTCTCTTCTACCGTTTTGTTTTGTTTTGTTATTTTGTTCTGCTGTGACAGATGCAGCAGAGCTCAGACCCCGCTGCATCTGCTGGGGATGAAACCCTCGGAAGCTCGAGCTGCACCAAGCTCCTCCCTCCCACGGCCGTCATTGGCTGCGAGGGCGGTGGGACCTTGGAATCCTCGCTGCTTCCCTTTGAACCTTGAAAACGAGGAGAGAGCAAAACGAGTTACATCCTTAAACAGGAGTTCAGAGAGTTAAATGTCTATTTTTGGAGAGGTCGAATCAGGCCAGCTGCTGGCGAACAAAACCTGCTCTAGCTACTGAGCATGCTCAGCGTCACTTAGAAACCCGCAGAAGTTTCAGGATATACATCCCTTCTCTGAGGTTTTCGCAGATGCCACAAGGGGACGAGCAAGCAGAAAGGAAGATTTCCAAGAGCCTTAACGCGATGAAGAGAAAGAAGCAGGGAAATGAGGGAGAAGGGACAAGAGGATCAGCATAAAATGAATATGAAAGGGGTGTGGAGTGAATCTGAAAGGGGTCAGGGAAGAAAGTGACGAGTGGGAGAGGCTTTGGAGAAAGCAAAGTATCAAATAGAAACACTTTAGTAGAAACAGTTGGATCTGTCTGTTGGTGACCACTTGCCACCCTTGCGCTTTTTTTTTTAATCTATGATTTCACATAGGGTTCCCAGAACCTATCAGATAAGTTGTAATTGAGGGTATTCCTTGTTAAAAAAAAAAAAAAAAAAAAAGAAGGAAAACAGTCGCCTGTACTACAGAAAATAATTCTATATCTCTAGCCCTTTTCCCTTTTTACACTCCATCCCCACTTTTCTTGTCCTTATAATAAGAATCTTCCAGCCCTGTACCTATTATTTTTAGCAATGGAGATCTGATGCACTCATTTATTTACAAGGCGACTTAAAGAAACAAGAGCAATGTTTCATTTCTACTACTAGGTGTTAGGTAGTTTTTCCCTGGAGGTGTGAAACCCTATAATCAAAGTTTAGCCATTGGGGAATTTAACTGGATTTGGACGATGGAAATAGCTTCTCTAGGACCTTACTTGAAGAATTCTTTGTCTTTTATAAGTTTTTGTTTTGTTTGTTTTGTTTAGATTTAATCTACTGGCTACTGTAAGGCTGGTGGCGGCCCCCTCCCTTCCCTGGATCAAAAAGAAAAGACTCATGAGACCAGACCCGCCAAGGACAAAACTGCCAGGCCCTGCTGAGAGGATCCACACTCAGATGTCCACCTAGATAAGAATGTTTTGGCTCTTGGATTCCACAAATACCTCCAGCCCCTCCTAAAATCCCCAGCTCTTCCCGCCAAAAGTCCCTAGCCAGGCCCAAAGGATATAAAAGGCCTCAGCCCCTTCAAACTGCGGGGACTTCCGGCTGCTCTTGGGGCCCCAGAACCTCGTCCGGAGTGTATAATAAAGCCACGTGGTTTGCCCCCCCACACACTCTTTCTCTTTCTGTGTCTCTTTTCTTTTCGCCACCACCGGAAAACCTTACAGCTACTTCCTATTTTCATTTTGTTTGTTTGATAAAAACCAAGAATGTTAAAAAAAAAAATGTCTTCACATGCCTAGTGGAGGATTTAAACTGTTCAACAGGCAAGTGAAATTTTGCATATTCAAAAAGAATGTGAAGGGCATTTAGGCAAGGCTTATTGTTGGTTTTTTGGTGGGTTTTTGTTTGTTTGTTTTGGTTTGGTTTTTTCTTTTTAAGACAAGGTCTCCCTCTGAGGCCACAGGCTACAGTGCCACTAGTGGTGGGTTCATAGCTCACACAACTTCAAACTCCTGGGCTCAAGCAATCCTACTGGCTCAGTCTCCTGAGTAACTAGCAGTAACTAGGACTACAGGTATGCACAGGTGTATGCCCCCATTCCCAGCTAATTTTTGTAAATTTTTTTGTAGAGACAGGGTCTTGCTATGTTGTTCAGGCTGGTCTCCAACTCCTAGCCTCAAGCAATCTTCCTACTTTGGCCTCCCAAATTGCTAGGATTAGCAATTTGGGAGGAGCAGAGCAACTGCTTCTGGGCAAGGATGAGTGTATTTTTGAACATGAAAAATTTTTGCTTTCTATCTTCCCTCACTTCACCTCCAACATAGATATACATTTCTAGTCAATTGGAAGCTTGGAAAGATATGCATTAAGCTAGAACGGAAGTTGGTAAATTATAACCAGTGGGCCAAATCCAGTCTGCCACTTGTTTTTATATGACCCTTAAGCTAAGAATGGTGTTTACATTTTAAAGTGATGGGAAATACGTCAAAAGAAGAATATTTTGTCCTGTTAAAATGACATGAGGCCAGGCGCGGTGGCTCACGCTTGTAATCCTAGCACTCTGGGAGGCCGAGGTGGGTGGATTGCTCGAGGTCAGGAGTTCGAAACCAGCCTGAGCAAGAGCGAGACCCCGTCTCTACTATAAATAGAAAGAAATTAATTGGCCAACTAATATATATAGAAAAAATTAGCTGGGCATGGTGGCGCATGCCTGTAATCCCAGCTACTCGGGAGGCTGAGGCAGGAGGATTGCTTGAGCCCAGGAGTTTGAGGTTGCTGTGAGCGAGGCTGATGCCACGGCACTCACTCTAGCCTGGGCAACAAGCGAGACTCTGTCTCAAAAAAAAAAAAAAAAATGACATGAAATTCTCATTTGTATCCATAAAGTTTTATTGGAACATAGTCAAACCCATTTATTTGCTTCTTGTCCATGGCTTCTTTCAAGCTACAGTGGCAGAGTTGAGTTAATGCAACAGAGACTAAAATATTTACCATCTGGCCCTTTATAGAAGTTTGCAAACCTCTGTGCTAGAATACAAAACCTGTCTCAGTTGTTAAGTCATCTTCATTTTTGAGTTTATCATAAATAAAGAACTATCCCCAGTTTTATTGAGCAAGAACATTTTTAAACTTTAAAAACGCCTTCTTTCCTATATATTTATATTAATTCCAAGAATCATCACAAATCTCTTTTCATTTGTTTACATTCAATTCAGCAGATTTACTAATATATGAGTGGCAAATTCATGCCAGTCTCTTTGATAGCTGGCCATGTTAGCAGCACACCCCATCATCCTATTAAGACTTTCTAAGCCTGTATGGAGAAATCATAGTGTTATAAAGGTTACTGTCAAAATCTTTTATTCCTAAGCTTATGCTTTAGTGTATGCAAAAGAAGGCTGCCTTTCATCTATAAATTTTAATAATTTATGTCACATTTCCTGACAGCTACACATGGTAGGACGAACTGCTACAGGACAGGTTGAGACCCAGGGTAAAACCAACTGGGGGTGATGGTAGGATGTTCAGTTAGGCAGAACTAGGTACACAGAGGGCTGCATGGGTCAGACGGCAGTGGGCAGTTGAGACAAGTTGCATCATCGGCATATAACCAAAGTCAGTCAGAGGATCATGGCAGTGAGAAATCGATAAGCAAATAACACTAGAGATGCATATGGGACCACACTTAGCTGTAGGTAGATCGGTTTACCAACTGATAATGAGGCTGGGTACAGGAACGAGCTTTCAATGCCTACAATGAGAGTCTTGTGAGAATGAAGAATTGGGTATGAGGAAAATGATCAAGATAGAAATGTATTTACCAGAATTATGGTAAAAGGAAGGTTGAAGGTGAGTTACTACAACTGTGGAAAAGGTCAATGTGACATCTGACTTGATGTTCAGCCACTTAGGTATAGACCTAACAATAACCATTTAAATTCCACTCCCACATTTCACCCTGCTCTCAAGGGTTAGGGTTGGTCCTAGTATCTGAGTCTAGGCTCAGGCAGAAGAAGGATTCAAGATGATAAGAAACCATACAGACAAATGAGTTGGAAATATATGCTATTTAAGTAAGAAACTAAGAATGCCAATGTGCTTCTTTCATTTTATAATACTGGCAGTATGTAATCAAAGCAATGAGAATGTTAATTTAGAACTAGGAGAGAAAAAAATTAAAATTTTCTTAAGAGGCGAGAAATCGTCTTAGAAAAGATCTTGAAAATGAATGAAAAACTTTAAAAAAAACAATAATTCTCAAATTATTCTGCTTTCTAGTGTGCTACTTTCTTGTACACTACCAATATTTGTGCACAAGAGGGATTAAATGGATTATATATATTAGAGAATACATATATATACCTATAAAACATATATATGCTTTATAAGCAGTAAAACATAAGAAATTATTTTTTCAATAAAGAAAACTACATATTTATGCATTAAGTAAATGTATATATAGTACAGACTATATATGTGTTGCATGTTTATAAATCACCAGAAAGTAAATAATTTTTAGAAATACATAAAGATAAATTGCTTAAAGTTTAAGACTTTTAAGTGGATTTCCTTCTAAATTGCTAAATAATATTTTTTATCTGTGCTGTATTTCTTTCTTGAACCATTTCATGACCCAAGAGATTACCTAATTGCCCTACTGGCCCTAAAATAGCACAGTATTTGACTCATTATATATCAGTTGTGCTAGCCTTACTCATGGAGGCATAAATAGTATTGAAGATGAGATCTTAGATCAATGTTCCAGCTGTTACATGTAACAATCTAATACCTAGTTCATAGGGAAATGTCTTTTTCTGTGAAGGAAAACCCTTCATAGGGTAAATATCTTGTTGAACATGTATCTCATATATTAAAATTCCTTGGCCTAATTCACCACCCCCACTGCCTCCCTGTGACTAGAAGGGAAAGCAATGACTCTAATCAGGGAGAAGATATGGTTCCATCCAGCTCTCAGTTCTTGACTCTTCTCAACAAATTGGTCAACCTCTCTCCTTTATACCTTTAACATAACAAAGAACAAAAATTTCAGTTAATTCTTTAGTAAATTATTATTTCTATTCTGATTAATTTAGTCAACATGTTTTAAAAAGCTTTAAAGTAGGAAATGCGGATACACAGTGCCATTCTTCCTGCCTTGACTGTATGGTTTAGTTACTGAAAAACCAACAGCCACTCTATGCTGAAGGCTTTCTCTTAAATGTTGAATTCACCTGGTCTAATTCAATTATAGATATACTTTGGTTAATTTTGTCATAAAAATCAGGATTTGTATGATTAAACAAGAAGATGTCTATTCTGGGACATAATTTTACTCTAGGCATTATTTCCTGATGCCTTAAGAGAAAATGTATTATATCTCAAATTATGAGATCTTCCCTAGGTTATATGCTCTGGAAAAAAACATGGCAATTGAAAAAAATGTTCTTTGTGCATTTATTTGGGAGAAGAGATTCCTAGTTTCTAACCAAATATCATAGAACAGTTTGTAAGATATTTTGTGAGGATATACAAACATAACACAAAAATAAATGGCAAAATCCAATTTCTGTTTTGAGATTTTTTTTTCAAGTAAGGAGTTCTACGTGTTTGGACATTCACACTAAATTAAGTTTTGATCAAACTCTTAGAAACGCACAAAATGCACAGAATAGTAATTTATTACAGTGTAATGTGTTTTATAAACAACTGTTTACTTAATATTAAAACCGCATGAAAGATATTTAAAGATTTGGGGTATGGAGTAATAGATGGGATTGGAAACATCATTTTTAGTGTTAGCGATTTGTTAACTTTGTCCTTGCCTTCTTTTACTTTCCCAACTTTGGT